TGTAATTTAGGTGAAAGTTTACAGAGCAAATCCATTTCCCATACAGCAGTTCATATACACTTTGTCTCATGACATTGACTGCAATTTCCCACAATGCAACAGCTTCCATCCCACTTCCTCCCCATAGTTACCTCTTCCCTGTGTCCTCCCCTCCATGAACTCCTGCCCCCTGCAGCTATTTTATTCTCCCAGGATTGATCTCTCCCAGGAGTGTATCTACCTAATGTAAATGTTCAGCTCATATGCCTGTCTTTTGTTTGGCTGGAAGCCACAGGAGTGGGCTCAGTTCCAGACCTGGAGGGCAGCTAGGGGCTATTGTCTCAGGGGTTCCGTCAGGCTCCATCAGACCAGTGAACCTGGTCCCTTACAAAACCACCTTTTGAAGGGACTGCTATGGTGCCATCCACAAGACAGAGAAGACTGAGATTAAAAACACTAAGGGGTTTGTTTACTCAGGGCTCAAATTTGAGGATTCTTAGTGACCTCAGGTACAAGGTGGGTCCCCTTGCCAACAGGGCTGTTAGGACAGGATTCTGGGAAACCAGCTGGGGGAGGAAAATTCTGAGGAAGAATGTGAGGCAAATAGGAGGTATGGTTGGAGCTAAGAGGATCTATTGGTTGAGATACAGGCTCAGGCTGCTGTTATGAAGACACACAAAACAGGGTAGAAGTTCTTTCTCCCTCAACTTCTCCAAGGGCAAGTACTCCTAGGCCAAAATGGCAACTCCATGGTGTCGGGGAGTCCGGCTGCTTTTAGCCCGTTGTTCTGCCATCCTCAAAAGATGGCTTTCATCATAAGGTTCAAGGTAGCTGCTCCAGTATCCACCATCACACTTGCATCTTATCCTATGGTAAGGGAATGGGGAGAGGACCAGGTGAGGCCACACCTCATCAGTTTCAAAGGCATAACCAAGAAGTGGCCCAAATCACATCTGCTCAGAATTTAGCCACATGGACATACTCAAACCACAACGGAGCTTTGGGAATAAAATACGTATTTAGCTGTTAGCCGAAATTTGGACCAGGGCAAAGATTTATGGAAGGAAGCAGGAGAGAATGAATACCAGAAAAAACTAGCAATAATTATTGTCCATAGGCAGATTCAATAGAAGTGGGGGGAGAGAACCCCTAGGCCTGGTTGGCAGAACCTTTTTCCTTCTCTCCTGTCCCTTCCATATAAGGTCTAGCCTATAGAACTTGGAGCCAGTTGTTCTTTGGAACCCAAGAATATTGACAGAAGAATGAGGTGTCCATTGGGGCAGTAACAGATGCATTGTGGACTAAGACCAGCTCAGACCTTTAGGGTCCTCTGAGTCCAGCCTAACAATAGAGTCACAGAATCCATGAGTGGAAGGGACATGAAAAGGCATTAGTCCAACCCCACCCCACCCCATGATCCTCTGTTTGCTTGAATCATGAGGGATGGGGAACTCACTACCTTTGAAGGTTGCATAACTCCGTCTCAGAACAACTCCTTAATGGGAATGGAAACCTGACTTGCTGTCTTCTGCCTGCCCCTGAACACGCTTCTGTTTTTCCAGTTCTTTTTGTTCAACATGCCCTTACTCTCACACATCCGCAAGGCTTCCCTCTACTGCTGCTTTCTCTTCAAGGTCTTCCCTGACTTTTCCTCCACCACCAGTCTCCTTGGGGTTGCACTGGAAGCCTGTGCCAGGGTCTCACGTGGCTCCTTCAGCTTTTCCCTCAAACGCCTCTTTCCATAATTAATTGTTCATTCATTCAACAAGTTTTTATTGGCTTAAGGCATGGACTTCAAGGAGGGACAACTGGGATCCTGGTATGATTAGGATCAGGCTTTAAGGCCACTGTCAACTCTTGAACAAACCAAAAAACCAAAATCATTGCCATCGAGTCAATTCCGACTCATAGCAATCCCCACTGGGTTTCTGAGGCTGTAAATCTTTGCAGAAGTAGATTGCCCCATCTTCCTTCTGTGGTGCAGAAGGATTTGAACCGCTGGACTGGTTTGTAGCCAAATGCCTTATCCACTACACCACCAGAACTCCTAGTCAACTATTGAGAGCAGGAGACAAATGGTAGGAACAACAGTGGGCAGCAAGCTTTTAGCTCAGCACAGATCTAATGGGTCAGCTTCAGAAAATCATTGT